TTTTATGTCAAAATACTGTAATTTACAAGCCTCATAACTTGAAAAGTACTTAATGAAAAATAACTTCATTATAGTGTTTTGAAAAGCTCTTGACACCAGCTATTAGATTTTGGAATCAAAAATAGGGGTTTCCATTTTAAAAAATTAACTCTGACCTTTAAATGACCTTGAAAATCAACTGCGAGGTCAAAGTCAAGGTCACCCTCAGTTGGCCCCTTTTAATCCTACAACGTTTGTTAAGGTCATTTTTTGTCTATCACCCTTATCTTCGGAGTAATTTGCGTGGATGTTTTATAATGAGACACCCTGTATATATATATATATAATATGTAGCTGAAATATAAAAATAAATATATCATATTATATTTTTTTTAGAGACAACTATGTGTTTTTTTATACCAATTAATTCCTCTCATTATTTTGTGCATAAAAGTATTGAGGTAAGATAATTGAAAAATGAATATTCAACAAGATATTTCATAGTTTATATAAAATTATGTCAAATTAAAGTATAAAATATCTCGTTAACTATTCGATTTTTGGCCATCTTACCCTAATAACTTTTTACGCCGAATATTACGAGGAATCGATTTATATAAAAAAATTAAGGTAGTTCTATTTAAAAAATGAAGATGACCTTCAAATCTTTGAAGTGTTTCCATCTAAGGTCAAACTGATAAAATCAGTAAATAGATCTTTTTAAATTTTACAACTTTTATCTGAAACATTTTTTTATAAAACTTATATTTTTCGAGATATTCTGGGGTTCCGGTATTTTTTATACACCCTGTATATACGGGTGTTTCAGACCACCCGTACATCTCATTTAAAAAGGAGAGAAATGGTTATTTTAAAAAATGTTTCAGACAAAAGTTGTTGGCGATTAAGTAATGCATTACATGGGCATATGCGATTGACCTTGAATGGCGTCGTGAAGGTCATGTCAAGGTCGATTTAAATTTTTTAAATAATAACCCTTATTTGTTATTTCATATTCTTGTAGCTGACATCAAGACGTTTTTGAAACACTGGTTACAAACCCTTTTTAGTTGAGATCTTCCTGAGTTATGAGATTTCAAAGTTTAAGTACTGTAGAAGCCTAAATACGGTAGCGCTTCTCTTCTGTAAGGACTGAACTAAATCAATCCCGCTTTTAATAAAACTGTAGCAGTAGCCTAAATACGATAGTGCTACTCTACTGTAGCACTAAATACGGTAGTGCTATGTAACTGTGGTGAGTGCGAGAATAAATAGACTAAAGACTCAAACTTTATAGAATATACAACTTTAATCTTTCGTAGTGTCAGGATTTTTCTCGACTGCTCGACTTCGTCGGGATCTCGATTTATATACACTCGCATCAAAGATGCCGCTAAATTTTATCATAATCGTTATCCGCCGATAGCTAACATAATATCTTTTATAATATGAGATAACTCGCTCGACAATCGCATCTTTCTTCGAGGAATTATAATCGTATCTTTACAATTAAACTTAATACTAATTACATATCTAGACTTTCATTCGGTTAGTAGGCACAAGGCCATCGTATGATATTTCACCGCATGATGAAAGCAGCTGCCGCCGCATGATAAAAGCGCTAATTCTAAAAAGAAAATTTTAAATCAAGTATATCACTACAGTACCGCCAGCATTAGCATTACCCAAGATGCCCAAGATTACCCCCCCTCCCCTCTCACATAACGTGAGAGGCAAGGGGACTCACTTTAATCAAGCACCCCAAAGAGGTGTAAATCTGACCACGCAACCTCCACGCGGTACATCTTGGGTAACGCCGGCGGTACTTAAATTTTGAAGTCTCATAACTCAGGAAGATCGCAACTAAAAAGGATTTGTAAAGTGTTTCGACAACGCCTTGACGTCAGCTACAAGAATATGAAATAAAAAGTAAGGGTTTCCATTTAAACAATTCAAGTTGACCTTGACATGACTTTCACGACGCCATTCAAGGTCAATCGCATATACCCATGTAATACATTACTTGATCACCAACAACTTTAGTCTGAAACATTTTTTAAAATAACCACTCCCCTCGTTTTTAAATAAGGTGTACGGGTGGTCTGAAACATCCGGTATACGAGGGCTGTTTGAAAAGTTCCGGGCCTCACATAGAAATGGCGCAAATAAGTTTAATATTTTAATGATATTTCACGCTGTTATCTTTTATTGATTATAATTTAAAGTTTTAAATCAATACGTCATTTAGTATTTGTATAATTGTCCGCCAAACGTTTCAAGCAAATTTAAAACAATGGAAAAATTGGAAATTCGTGTAGTGATAAAATATTTTTTTTTTAACTTAACTCCAACCGAAATAAGAAATGAAATTGAAATTGGATTCAACATTGGGGAAATCTTCTCCTTCGAATATAATGATTAAACGCTAGGTTGCTGAATTAAAAATGAGTCGAACGAGTACCAGTGATGAGCCCCGCAGTGGTCGTCCAAATGAGGTGACTATCCCAGAAATTGTTTAAAAAATCAACAAAATCGTATCAGAAGACCGTAGAGTAAAGATTTGCGATATAGTAGAGAAGATGGGTATCTTAATTGAACGTGTACACAACATATGGCACGAACATTTGGGTATGAAGAAGTTGTGTGCAAGATAGGTGCCGCGTTTGCTAAATTCACTTCAAAAATAACGACGAAAAGACATTTCAACAGAGTGTTTGCAAAGTGGCATAATAGCTCTAGAACATCGTTGGGCAAAGTGTATTGAGTTAAATGGAGACTTTATTGAAATGAGACTATATTGAAAAATAAATCCAAATTAGCCCAAAAAAATATTGTTTTCTTATTTAGGCCCGGAACTTTTCAAACAGCCCTCGTATATGGGTGGACTTTCGAAAAGCTATCACCTCCGATTTGGCTGATAATTAGCCTAAATACTTATTTTATCTAGTAAATAATATTCCCAAATAGATTTTTGGCGCAAATGCCCCCTCCGCTCTCCAGCCCCCCTCAAAGGTAAAACTGTTTTTGTTAATTATTTCAGAAAGTATTCATTGTACGGAAAAAGTTGTCAAACAAAAAATGAAGCTCAATGAAAAGCTCTACAAATAAGGTCCTATACATATTTTACCTAACTCCAATATTTTAGTCGTTATTATCAAAAAACTTGTAGAAGCCCCCGTAGGAGGGGCGGCACCCACTGCATCTACGCGTACACTTTACAACGCGAAGCAAGGTTACACATGGGTTTACGTCTTTCTATGCAAAGCGAGATTCAATCCAGACCCTGTGTATAGTTCTCTTATGATGGAGCCCCTCGCAGGAGGGCGGAACACACTGCCTCCACGCATACATTTTCTACGCAAAGCGAGGTTCAATTCAAACTCTATGTATATAGTTTTTTGATGGTGGAGCCCCCCGTAGAGGAACGGAACACACTACCTCCAGATTTTTGATAATAACGGCTAAGATATTGGAGTTAGGTAAAATATGTATAGAACCTTATTTATGAGCTTCAATTTTTGTTTGACAACTTTTTCCATACAATAAACACTTTCTGAAATAATTAACAAAAAAAGTTTTACCTTTGAGAGAGGTTGTGGAGCGGAGGGGGCATTTGCGCCAAAAATCCATTTGGGAATATTATTTACTAGATAAAATAAGTATTTAAGTTAAAAATCAACCAAATCGGAGATGATAGCTTTTCGGAAGTTTATCCCTCAATTGTTAGTTTGTGCATTAGAATAAAAATTCTATCAATTTAATTTTATCAATTAGCAAAAATAGTATATTTGAACATTCTAGCTACATTCTTACCTGTAAACAATATCCAATTCTTTCAACAATGGTGGAAAAATTTGGTCTGTCCTCAGGTACTGTCTGCCAGCATCGCATCATAATCCCATAAACAGGATCTGGACACCCCACAGGTTTCTCGAGACGACCACCGTCCATTATCATCGACATGACCTCACGATGCGAAGATCCATAATAGGGTATATATCCAAAGGAAAAAATTTCCCATAGGAGCACACCGAAAGACCTAAACGTAGATTATACATGTCATATTTTTCTTACGTCTTGATCAGATTCCACGATTTTTTTCTTTTTAGATGAGCTAAAATACTAAATACCAGACCTAGTAAACGCGGCGCAAACCAGAATTCTAAAAGATTATTTTAATACCGGAGTTGCTTTTGGGACTTTGCGAATACGACTTTTCTCACGGAATCTCAAGTAAAAGTAGTAGGTGGCGTCGATATTTTAAGCCATTTTAATCAACCAACGTCCACTTGTCGCCGTCAAAGTCATAAAAATTGAAATTTTATTCCGCTCTAGCTGGCATCTTCAGCAACTCCAAATCGTAAACTGACAGGAGAGTGTCTCAGTTGGGAAACGCAGATCATAACCAAACTTTAAATATATAGGTGTAGGGAGAGGCCTCCTGAGTACATATGTAAAATATTAGATGTAGATGGCCAGCCATTCAATAATAATTAACAAAAAAAGATTGTAATGTTTGTTATAAACCAGTGCGATAAAACTAAAGTTTCTAAATAGTGCATAGCGGCGTGATAAGGCATGTGCTTACCAAGCTGTTGACCCGAGTTCGAATCCCGATGCTGGTGGTGTTTTTTTTTATTATTTATAATAATAAAATAGAAAATAATCGAATAGAAAATAATATTATTTATTTCATTTGAGTGCGAAAAAGGCATTAAAAACTTAATACATATTTAAAAGGTCAATAATTCCACAAAAAATTAATTAATATTGATTATTTTAAAATGTATTAATTTTCGCACTTAAATAAATAAAATAAATAATATTCGAGAAATATAATGGAATGGCATTAAGAGCCGTCATTAAGCTCTGAGCTATCACGCTGTCAACCTGGGTTCGATCCCTGCCTATTATACTTTTATTTTTATTTATTTTATTTATTCTAGCGAATATTTATTCATTATATTATTATAATGAAATAAATTTATATTAATTAACAATTTTGTTTTTTTTTAATTTGCACTTTCACTACTTCTATCATATAAAAAATAAAGTAAAAAAAACATCTACGATTTAAATAATATTATAATTATTATTTAATACCAGAAATATTTTATTAATCATAATTTAATTTGGTATGTAATTTTTCACTCAACTTCGTTGAGTTACTTATTGCTCCAACCATAATATTTGTATACCTAATGTTCTCACACCAGGTAACTGCTAACAGTTTTTAGCTCCCCTTCAGACTACTTCCCTTCTGTAACGTATATTCCTACACATCAAATTAAATTATGATTAATAAAATATTTCTGGTGTTAAATAATAATTATAATATTATTTAAATCGTAGACGTTTTTTTTACTTTATTTTTTTATATGATAGTAGTAAAAGTGCAAATTAAAAAAAAACAAAATTGTTAATTAAAATAATTTTATTTAATTATAATAATATAATGAATAAATATTCGCTAGAATAAATAAAATAAATAAAAAAAAAGTATAATAGGTAGGGATCGAACCCAGGTCGACAGCGTGATAGCCCAGAGCCTAAGTGCCCGAGCTACGCCGCCATCTCGACAACCGACCGACATCCAACAGGACCGGAATATAAGGGACGCCATAAACTTCAAATCGATTTTTCTCGAAAACGGCTAAGCGTTGCGCCCTATCCTTTTACTCAAGTATTCTTCTGATAGAGTACTATACCATATAAAAATTTCTTTGAAATCGGTGACCCGAAGTCCGCGTCCTCCCCTTGTCAGATGTATTCTGAGAATTATAAGAAACAAGTGGTGGAGCAGCAACATTTTTTTTACTTGCAAATTGTAAAGTTCCAGGATTATCTAGATTAGAATCTGAATCATCGGAACTTTGAATAGTGTTAACTGTTTTCTTTTTGTCATTTGTATATCAGAAGAGTCAAATGAAAATGGCTGTCGATCAATTTTTTTCGTTG